CCTCTTAGGGCCAAATAGTGTGTCACATATTTACACCCATAACACACTTCATTCAAGTTGACGTGATCCTAACACTTTTAGTTGGTGACAAAAGCATAAAAACAGCAGCTCTATGTGGTGTCCGCGAGACCAGACCACAGACGCTGGACTCGGGAGCCGGAGCCTGTGCGCTCTGATTCGCTGTTTTGATCCGTCAATCACCTCCCGCCGGCTTTTAATTTATTTTTATTTTTATTATTTTTGACAAAAAACAGCATACTAATTGTGTATTGTTTACCCCGTTTTGACAAAAGTATTTAAAAACTATTTTAAATACAAAGCAAACGGGGTCATGCGCGTCATGCGCGTCATCAGTGTGGTTTTTGTCACTGAAGTGGACCCGAGCGTTTCTGTGCCTCACGCTGGGGAAGGAGACAGATTGTTTTCTTACAAAAGATTGACAGAATTAATGAATAAACTACTGTGGGCTTGTGTATGAAGGCCAAATAGCATTGTAATCATGTTTAAAGCAGAGAAAAGTCAAAAACCGTGATATAGGCCCTTTAAAGCTGGAGTACCTGTTTATCCCACTAGAAAACACTACATCTTTTACATACTGAGAGGAGAGTGAGGACTGGTCCAGGAGTATAACACATTTAGACTTCCTGCTTGTGAGTTTTGATACTAGCACAATTACAGTATCTTAGAGAGTCGAAAGTCAAAGCTCCTGAAAAACTGCTCTATCTATGTTCCCACCCCCACTATGGTCATGAGCTTTGGGTAAAGACTAAAAGGACGAGATACAAGCGGTTAAAATAAGCTTCCTCCGCAGATAGGGTGAGGAGCTTGGTCACACGAGAGGAGCTCAGAGTAGAGCCGCTGCTTCTTCAGGTTCGAAGGTGTTCCGAACTTGTCCCACAAGGAGGGGACCAGGAGAAGACCCAGGACACGTGAAAGGGACTGTCTTTCTCTCTCTGTCTGATAATGCCTCGAGATTCCCCCGGATGAACTAGAGGTGGTGTGTGTGGAGAGGGTAGGTCTGGGTTCCCCCAATGACCCGGGAGCGGATACATGGGAATAAAATGGATGGAATTGTGTCTGTAGTTTCAGAGGACACCATTCATAAATTACATATTTGACAACTGAGGGAATATTGCATGTAAAGTGGTAATACAGACTGAGTCCTCCCTCTACTACACACCTGCACCTGACCTCCTCACTATCAGATTCGTGCAGCAACCCGCCTCCTCCCTGTGCCGCCTCTTCGGTGGGGAATCGTCATGTTTTCACCTCAGCTTTCTTCGCCACCAGGGTTTAGGCTCCAGGGGTTCACATGCTCATAATCTCCATTAAATTCCCCTCATACATACATCATACACTATTTCTGGCCGGGTGTAATTGCCAAATCTTAATGAACCGTTGATGTTCAAATGCAATACATATACCATACATACATGTACCACATCATCTGCTAGAACAACAATATCGTCATGTCGACATGCTAATACATACAGTGCCTTGCGAAAGTATTCGGCCCCCTTGAACCTTTCAACATTTCGCCACATTTCAGGCTTCAAACATAAAGATATACAATTTTAATTTTTTGTCATGAATCAAAAACAAGTGGGACACAATCGTGAAGTGGAATGAAATTTATTGGATAATTTAAACTTTTTTAACAAATAAAAAACTGAAAAGTGGGGCGTGCAACATTATTCGGCCCCTTTACTTTCAGTGCAGCAAACTCACTCCAGAAGTTCAGTGAGGATCTTTGAATGATCCAATGTTGTCCTAAATGACTGATGATGATAAATAGAATACACCTGTGTGTAATCAAGTCTCCGTATAAATGCACCTGCTCTTTGATAGTCTCAGGGTTCTGTTTAAAGCGCAGAGAGAACCATGAAGACAACGGAACCCACCAGGCAGGTCCGAGATACTGTTGTGGAGAAGTTTAAAGCCGGATTTGGATACAAAAAGATTTCCCAAACTTTAAACATCTCAAGGAGCACTGTGCAAGCAATTATATTGAAATGGAAGGAGTATCAGACCACTGCAAATCTACCAAGACTCGGCCGTCCCTCCAAACTTTCATCTCAAACAAGGAGAAGACTGATCAGAGATGCAGCCAAGAGGCCCATGATCACTCTGGATGAACTGCAGATAACTACAGCTGAGGTGGGAGAGTCTGTCCATAGGACAACAATCAGTCGTGCACTGCACAAATCTGGCCTTTATCGAAGAGTGGCAAGAAGAAAGCCATTTCTCAAAGATATCCATAAAAAGTCTCGTTAAAAGTTTGCCACAAGCCACCTGGGAGACACACCAAACATGTGGAAGAAGGTGCTCTGGTCAGATGAAACCGAAATCAAACTTTTTGGCCACAACGCAAAACGATATGTTTGGCGTAAAAGCAACACAGCTCATCACCCTGAACACACCATCCCCACTGTCAAACATGGTGGTGGCAGTATCATGCTTTGGGCCTGCTTTTCTTCAGCAGGGACAGGGAAGATGGCTAAAATTGATGGGAAGATGGATGGAGCCAAATACAGGACCATTCTGGAAGAAAACCTGTTGGAGTCTGAAAAAGACCTGAGACTGGGACGGAGATTTATCTTCCAACAGGACAATGTTCCAAAACATAAAGCCAAATCTACAATGGAATGGTTCACAAATAGACGTATCCAGGTGTTAGAATGGCCAAGTCAAAGTCCAGACCTGAATCCAATCGAGAATCTGTGGAAAGCGACTTGCAGCTGTAATTGCAGCAAAAGGTGGCGCTACAAAGAATTAGCGCAAGGGGGCCGAATTCATTTTTTTCTTCCGCTTCATCCGTTACCCGGCAACGGATGAAGCGGAAGAAAACGGACGGACGGGCTGAATAATATTGCACGCCCCACTTTTCAGTTTTTTATTTGTTAAAAAAGTTAAAATTATCCAATAAATTTTTTTCCACTTCACGATTGTGTCCCACTTGTTGTTGATTCTTGACAAAAAATTTAATTTTTATATCCTTATGTTTGAAGCCTGAAATGTTGCAAAATGTTGAAAGGTTCAAGGGGGTTGAATACTTTCGCAATGCACTGTAAAAATTCTAATGCAATCTTTTGCTTGAGTCTCTCCAGATTCAAATACAATTATACAAAACTTTTACATTCTTAAACTTGAGGATTTTTGGACGTTCTTCTACTGTTCATGAATCATCTCTTGGCATTTTTTTACATTTTCAATACCACTTTATCAGATCCAGTCATTAATCTTTGATGCATAAAGTCCTCACCATATTCTGAGTTTGTCCATATCGGCAGCAGAATCGGCTGCAGAAAAAGGCACAGGTCCACATTGCAGGGTATTTTTTCACTGGCACGGCGGCTTGTTTTTCCTGCGGATCTGTGATGGCTGTTGTATGTTTGAACGATAAGTCCACTCCACCTGCTCTGTCTGTGCAATCCCACTCTGTTTGATACGCAGCCCACAGCCCTTGTTTTTGAACATCAGAACTCAGACTAAACCGGGAGCGTTCGAAAAGGACACGGCTTTACAAAGGCCAAAGCCAAAGCTGTCATTTAATGCGAGCGGTGTGGCGGGGGCAAATTATACAAACAGCATCTAGAGTTATTTCAAATTTTAGAAGATATTGTGAAAAGCTGTCAACACTGCTGCTCTATCTTTTATAACATTATATTATACACAACACTGGAAATGACAGGGTCCGGGTGTGTTATTTTGTAAGTTTGGGAAATTTTCACCAAAATGGATTTCCCCGTGGAACTCGGAGCGTGTTTGGTGAAATTGTGACCACTGTGCACTGGACCCCGAAAACACAAAATCACTGCATGGTGCTTGACGCTTCACTGGATAGAAGTTGTTTACAGAATATAAAAATACTATTATTTTCTGCCATGGCTCGAGAAATCCGTCTATAACTTGGACTCCTCTGTATCAGTTCAATAGTTTGTGTTCATGTATTAGCATTTATGTAAATCGGTCATCCGCCCCTTATGGACCAATGGCTCTCTGTGTTTTTTATCATCGCATTTCCTGTGTTTGATTCTCTGATCTGTGTTGGTAAATGGTCAGCTTTGTCAAGTCCCCCAAGATAACCACTACTGCGATTTAGAGCTATGCAAAAATTGAATCGAATGGAATGTTGTATAATTGTATTTCAGTTGCAGGTGCCATTACAACTCCATGGGATGGAAGTAATTATTACAAGTGTTGAAAAGATCCATCAACATAATTAATTCAAAGTGGTTAGATTCACACATCCTGGACGCCCTCCTGGTGGCGTGTTCTGGGCGTATCCCAATGGAAGAAGACCCAGGGAAGACTTGGGACACGTAGGAAGAACTGTGTCTCTCAGCTGACCGGGGATTGCCTCGGGATTCCCCCAGATGCGCTGGAGGAAATGTGTTTGGAAAGAGAAGTCTGGGCATCTCAGCTTAGACTGCTGCTATAGAGACCCAGCAATGGATAAAGCAGAAGAAAACGGAGAGATGGTTGAATGTTGAGACGTCATATGAACGCAACTTATTCAACAAAATTTGCGAACACTCAGATCCCTTACATCCTTAGTCAATCTGACTGCGCATTTCAGATTTATGCAGCTAAAACTGGAACAGTCTTCCTAAAAATGTGATACAGGTTTCTACTCCTACAATGTTCCAATCTCATTTATGATTTAAATGCCTTGTGTGACTGTTTTTTTCTTGTTTAGTTCCGCACTTTCAGTTGCCTTGTGTATAAACTGTGCTAAAGTAATAAACTTGCCAATCTTACGTCGTGGCCAATCATTCACATTTTTCCCATAGCACCACTTTCTACAATTTAGTACAAATATGACTCAGACTAAAACCCAATCCAGAATAACATTAAAATGCAAATCCGAGCCGACACATATTTGTAATGCTCTTAAAACCTCTATTACGTTTTAAAATCAAACGGCAGAGTCAGCCGGTGATGGAAAAGCAGTGCGTGTGTGTGTTTGTGCGTGTGTGTGTGTATAGTAGGGTACTTACGGTGAGATTATGGTTGGCCAGGGTCACCGGCTGGCCCTGCTCTGTGTAGTATGTCTCAGTGAAGTCCGGACTGAGGAGGCCCCTGCCGAAACACCAGACAGCAGTGATTAGAGCAGAGCTAAAGATATGATCCTGGAGAAATGGGATCTCAGCAGCAGGTAGAAATGGGACTGAATGAAGAAAACGCCGGTTAAGGCTATTATCGACAAAGCGGCATCGGGCACGGCCATTATTCACACTGGGGAAATTACCCTCATCGATGTCCAGAGAATAATATAGAGGATTATTGTTGCAATTTTAGTTTCACGGTCAATATTGTTTAGAAAAAGGAAGCTTCTTGTTAATGGGTGGATGCAATACTGAGTTAACTCTAGGACTCCCAGAATTCTGACTAGATTTTACTTTATTTACTAGACTTCAGAGAGCCGTAATTTTGCCGACTTCCATTCAAATCAGTTTTACCTTTACTCTCATACATGCTAAAACTGGTGATAATGACTTGAAATACAGCAACATAGTGGAAAAAGTCCAGGACCAGGCCAGAACTAGTACAGCCAGAACCAGCACCATGGAGAAAAATTGCTTTCTCTTCCATAGAATGTTGTGTACAAAGCACCCAAAAATGGCTACATTTATATTTTACATCTAAATCTGGGAGTTAAAGCTATTAAGAATTATTTGAACAGGGGCAATGATATATTTCAACAGTAGTCCATGGGCAAGGTGTAAAGATACCATTCATGTTTTTGTGGTTTGAGAGTTAGATACCCCAGCTTTAACAGGTCATAAGGCAAGGCAAGGAATGTTTATTTGTATAGCACAATTCATACACAAGGCAACTCAAAGTGCTGAACAAGATAGCATTAAAATCATAAATAATCACAGAACATTAAAAAGAAAGATAAAAATATAAAATCCCTCAGTTGTATGCACAGCTAAACAGCACAGTTTTTAACTTGGTTTTAAACATAGTCAGAGAGGAGGCCTGTCTCACATCTTCAGGAAGAATGTTCCAGATTTTAGCAGCATGAATCTGAAAAGCAGCCTCCCCATGTTTAGTTCTGACTCTGGGCACTAACAGGAGTCCAGTCCCTGTGCTCCTCAGAGTCCGGGCTGGTTCATATGGGACTAACATGTCACTAATATATTTTGGTGCGAGGCCATGGAGAGACTTGTACACAAGCAAAGCTGTTTTAAAGTCTATTCTCTGAGCCACAGGAAGCCAGTGCAGAGACCTGAGGACCGGACTAATATGGTCGTACTTCCTGGTTCTAGTCAGGACTCGAGCTGCTGCATTTTGAATGTACTGCAGCTGTTTTACAGCCTGTTTGGACAGACCTGTGAGCAGGCCATTGCAGTAGTCTAACCTACTGGAGACAAATGCATGGATAAGAATCTCCAAGTCTGCTTTAGACACTATGTTTTTGATCCTGGAAATGTTTTTTAGATGGTAAAAAGCTGCTGATGTTACTGATTTGATGTGGCTATTAAAATTTAAGTCTGAGTCCAGTATTACCCCTAGATTTCTGACCTTGTTTGAAGGTTTTAGGGAGAGAGACTGTAGATGACAGATGACGCTCTCTCTTTGTTTCTGGGGACCAAAGACAATCATTTCAGTTTTGTCTGCGTTTAGCTGAAGGAAGTTGTTTTGCATCTCATTGCGTCATTAGCTCATATTCTCCAGTTATTAGTTAATGTCCACTTCTTGAAGAAAGTAAAAAAAAAATGTTTTAGTGTGTGGATTTTCTAAGATGTAGGAGCACTGACACCACAAATAATTATTTTTAGGTTTTTTTTTAACCCCTTTTGTTTTCCTAGCCTTTACCATATGGTTGAGAGGCAGTTTGATGGTAAAAGTCCTTAACACCAAGTGAGATGCCCCAAAGAGGTATATTTCAGTTCCAAGCTTCAAGGTGATGTAGTGACTCAAAAAGTGATTCTGATTTGGATTCTGAATCATTAAAGGGTTAAAACACTTGACCAATATCCATTCCAAATTCCAAACAAAGTGTGCGACATCATTTCCTGGCCGAACTCCTGTGACGCATCTCCTCCGTCTCCTCGCCTTATGTCTCTGGCTTACATCACCCGTGGATAATGCAATGATACAATAGATTGCCCAGAAGAACCTTGGCTACCACGCCGTTGTCATGTCACTAAGCTTAATAGCATTAGCTGATAACATTAGCTAATCGCATTAGTGAGACAAGTGATGGACAGCAGATGACTCCGGCGGCGCATGCTAACAATGTGCACTTCTTGCGGAACAGTAAACAACATCGCCAGGAGGCATTCGGAAAGTTACAAGCAGCTCTGGTGGTTTTTACGGCCCCCGAACAGCCTCAACAAGTGTCAAGGGAAAGTTATTTGTCGATTTCAGAGGAGCTGGCACCGTTCTGAAGTGTTCATTAAGTGAAGACTGATACATCAATAGCAGCGTAATGGGCAGAAAGTCTGTAGCAACATTAGAATGGATAAACGATGTTTTCTATACTGATCAGACGGCGAGCCAACACTATGCCCAGTCCCTAATCATCCTATTGATCTCCCCACATCACAGAGACAAGGCACAAGGAGAAGACTAACTTTAGTGTAGCATTTAAAGACTTCTGTGAGGCTGGGATTCATGATGAGGAGTAGGGTTTGGACTTAATTGATGAAGTTAAAGGTATATAGGAGGATTTTACACTTCCAGAGGTCATCAAGACTATTGAATTGTTAATCATTCTCTGTTTTTTCAAAAAGTAGAGGGAGCGGTTCTTTCCTAACATTCGGGAAAATCGTTCTATATATATACTTTTAAGTAATGTCACGCAACTTTTTCCACATATGTAACTGTCATGTTGGATTGATAAAGAATTTATGTAAGATCATTGTATTATTAAAGTTAATTTCAATTCAATGTATTCGTGTATAGCCCTAAATCTCAACAGTAGTTATCGCGGAAGACTTAACAAAACCGTTGAATTTGCCGACAACAGATCAGAGAATCAAACCGTTCAAACACAAGAAATATAACGATAAAAACAGATCGAGCCATTGGTCTATAAGAGGCAGACGACCAATGTCCATAAATGCTTTATTGTGTTTTTAATCTTTACTGGAAGTATCAAGCAACGTCCATAAATGTTGATAAAGTCCGTAAATGTCGTTGAATGATGAGTGTCTTGGATCATCACCACTGTCCTTGGACCTTCATTTTAACGTTTATTTTCTTGTTTTGTTAAGCGCTTTAAGTAGCCTTCTGTTTTAACCTTGCGATACAAATAAACCAAGCCTTAATTAAATTCACTTCATAAAAACATAGCTTGGGCAACACGGCACTGTGGGTGAGTGGTGAGAACTCTAGCTTCTCAGCCACAAGGTCCTGGGTTTGAATTCCGGTCGGAACAAGACCTTTCTGAGTAAAGTTTGCATGTTCTCCCCGTGTCTGCTCCGGTTTCCTCATGGTGCTCCAGTTTCCGCTACCAATCAATGGCTCCCTGCTCTTTGGGGCCAGGACTCTCAAATCTCAGTGGGATTTTCAATTCAATTCAACTTATTTATAAGGACCTTGAGTGTGGAATAAAGATTTACCACTCTTTCTGTGTAGCTCTAAATCACAAGTTATTTTTTCCTGGTTAAATAAAGTTTAATAATAAAGCAATTTCTAAGAGTTGGCTTTAAGTTGCCAGGTTGGGGCCACATCAGCAGGTTTTCCCGTGTCCTAGTCTGTTAGATGGGCTTTTAACACTTAAGAATAAGAAAGGTATAATAAAAATAACGTCTCCGCAGCAGGGGGTGACAGTTTCATACAATTACAATCGCTGTTGCGTGTCCAGGGTGGGGCCCTTGAGGAGCCCAAAGGAGCCTGTTGCCTGCGGCCCCTGTCTCCACAAAGGCGTCTTGGAGCAGGCTTTGCTCCTGAAGCCAAACACGCTGAAAACACCACAGCGCTTTGTCAGCAAATGTTGGTGTCTTTGAAGTTGCATCATTCTCTAAGCTCTGCATATTAGCCGCTCACACGGAGGTGGGTTTACTGCAGCACTTTCTGTATTTTTAGGTTGTGAACATAGAAAACCCGAGGCCTAAGTTGCAGGATTAATGCGGCTTAATATTATCTAATATTATTTATATTGAATAGTGCATCGTTAACAAGTGCTTTATGATCGACCATAAAAACGTATTACATTGGAACTTCCCAAAGTGGGTCCGGAGCCACTCAACAAGCAACTGAGATTTAAATCAAATTTGCATATATTTGGTTTTATTACAACATAGATACTGATACTTTGACAAATGCATTCACTTTAGACAGAAAAACATACAATTTCTGTAAGTTTTGATCGGTTAGGGCTCTCTCCGTACTTTCAGAACAGCCGCAATACTTTTTATTGTCAGTTATTTGTCAAATAGCTTCTTGATTGGATGAATTTTACCAAAATCTTTGTCATTGGTCAAAACTTTCTCCTTCAGTAAATCTTTATGCAAGCCACAAGTAAGAACATTGTTATTAAGTTTATTTTTTCTCAATGACTTTTTTTACATGACCATCGACATAACATTTTTCTTCTGTCGGTTATTAGCTCTCTCACTCTCTCAGCAAAAAGGTTCTGGGTTCAAATCCTTGTCGGAACAGGGCCTTTCTTCTCCCCATGTTTGTGTAGATTTCCTCTGGGTCCTCCGGTTTCCCCTACTACTACAAACATGTAAAATAGGTAAAATGCTCCAGCTCCGGTCCTGATCAACATCTGGAGATGGTTTCCCTCATGGGAAATTGCAGGATGGGTCATATTCAGAAGCCAAATTTCCCCATAGAACCTGAACTTAAAGAGCGACTAAACACCAAATCAAAATTTTTTAAATCATAAACTGCATAAATATGTTTATTGTAGTGCTCTCTACATATCCTGGTCATTTTTTTGACATTTTAGTGCAAATTAGATAAAATCTCACTTTTGAGCCTAATACCGTCTGTGTGGCGCCCTCTCAACCTTTTCGGTGGTACTACATTTGAATTTGGCTTTGGCCTCTCCATTGACTCTGCGCCAGTGATATAAACCCATTCAACACACGCCCCAGCTGCAGGTTGGAGTATTCTGGCGACATCTAGTGGATTAAAATTAAATTACATGAGTTGACAACCACTGCTGCTGAGATAATTCTGTGGTTTAGATTCAGGCGTGTAGCTCTTCAATCATCTTAGTATGTAAGCAAGGGTGGAATGAGACTTTCTGGTGTGTAAACTATTGCTTTAAGCAGCAATGATAACTGCCTGTTTTTTTTTTCTTGTGACAAGTGAGCTGTCAATCACAGCCCAGACCACGCCCCAAATCTAAGCCCCCCTTCTTGTCCCTTGGTCTTCCAGGCAACACACTTTTAAGAGAAAAATTTCAAATGTTCATGTGGGCGGATTAAGGCTGGTCACAGGTGTTTAGTCGCTCTTTAAGCTGCGTGAATGGATAGGTCAACGAGTGGCAATTAAATTTGCCTTTTATAGATTAAAAAAACCTGGCATGGACATGATGCTATCTATGTTCAGTAGGAGAAAGTAGCCCACAAAGACTATCTGAGGTGCAGATGAAGGAAAATATACAAATACATTTCAAGAAAGCATTGCGCTCAAGTTTCAGTGCAAAATATTTGTTTGTGATATGTTTTGGCCACGTCTGACGAAGGCATTGTGGCCGAGAGGTATTTTTGTTAGCCAGTCAGAAAGCAGAGAGTCCAGCTGTTGGGGTTGCCAGTTTCTTTGATAAAAAAACCTAGAGCTTTCCCACCTCCACCAGGAGCTCCCCAGTAATCACAACTCTACATGCAGCGACACTGGCAACACCTGCTGTAGATTTGAGATTTTTACATCAGCAAAAACCACATAGTATTTCTCCCACTTTAGTGCACATCTATTTAGTTTCTTCAGGTAGAAAAGCGTCTTTTCATAATGTGAATGTGTTTGTGCCTGGCTCTTACAAACGCATAATAAAGGAGGGGGGAAGAAACTAAATGAAACCTTTTGAAGAGAAGCACGAGGCGACTGCAGGCTTTTCAACTCTGATGACTAGTGTTTTTGTTGCTGCCGACAGAACAGCAGTAAGTGAGCGTGCCAGCCCTTGTTATATCAGTTAACTTTAAAGAAACGCAAAGTCAGACAACGCTTGGATGATATGCATATCTTAACATTGCTTTCTGACAAGGCCTGTATCATTTTGTGACACTGCTGAGCGCGACTGCGAGAAAAAAAAACCTAATCTCCTCCAAATGAAATGTTGGATCAGCAGCCGCCGCGCCTCTTTCAAGTTGATGGAGCCGGACTTTGATAAGAAACGAAAGACAAAGAAGGAGAGAAAACTTCCGAGGGCCTTTGTTGTGATGGCATCAGGCTTGATTCATCTTCGCTTTTCTTATCGTATGCTAATTCTTATCGCTAGCAGGCAAAGTTTGCTTCAACACTTGTGTCCCCTTGCTCTGCACAAAGACAGACTGCAAAGTGGAAGGAATGGATTTGTTGTCGCTCCCCAAAAGGTCAGTGCATGTGAGCGGCCGACACACTTAACATTCACAATCTGCTGCTTTATTTATTAGGTTTCCAGGTTAAAAATACAACAGCAGCACCTCAATAGCACTTCATTTAAGAGCAAGTGAAACGCTCAAAGAATGTCAAACTAGAGATAATTGGACACAAACCCGTGCAAAAGGATTTTACAGAACGAAATAAGAGTTTGGAACAGGGGTTGGATCAAACAAACACATGGAAACTCAAACAACACAGACGATTTGGAAACAACCTGTCCAAAAAGAACCACACAAACTCAAGGTCGACCGCGGCCTGATCTGTGATCAAAAAAGATTTTTTCAAAAGTTTGACTGGCTGATTTAAAATTCCATGTTTTTCTTTTTTTAAGACTGCAAATATACACAGGGTCTATTACTATTATGGTAAATAGAGAATAGGACATTTTTCAAGGTTATTTAGTAATAATCAACATATAATCTATCTATCTATCCCCTTTATGGATATTGATGGGAATAGTTTTTTTTTCTAACATTATCTATATTTGTGTATTTATTATGTTTTGAATTGGATGTTTAGAGTAAATTCAAGTATGTGGTTGGGAAGACGATAGGGCTAATAGCCGATATTACAATAACTAATAAGAAACTAATACAAAGGCAATACAAGAGAACAGAAACAAATATAGAATATCATGACAAGAAAACACACACATATACACAGGCCCAAACGCTCTCCGGCCCTACACCTCTCTCCCACTATTCGCTGTACGCTAGAGACATCACTCTCTCCTCATCTTACTTCTTCAGTATTTCTTTCACAATTTTCAATGCAATCGTTGAATCATCTGTAGTGATATAATGTCCATTTGCTATTCTCAAATGTCACCACATAAATCTATCGAATCTCTCTGATCTGAAAGGTGACGCTTGTCTCGCACGGGGACAAAACAATCTCTCATCAAAAAGCCCTGGATCAGAGCTTGGACTTCTCCTGGACAGCTTTGCATTGGGACGCCATGGAAACACAGTCTCCATTCAAACTGTACGGCTGAAAAGTGACCAGACGGAAGGGCAAACCAGGCATTGGTGGGCAAGGACACAGTGAATGAAATGATGTACCCAATCTCTGTCTGGTCCCTGGGGTCCTATTGTATTATTCACTGGGTTACATCGAGCTGTGTAGAGCGTAATCCAGCGTTCTCACCCTTTTACTGCTCCTTTGAGATCATTTTACAAAGCTACGATGTCACAAATATTAATAAAGAATGAATGGGGGAAAAATAGAATACACTTTTGAATAACCTTTAGACGTTCCAAGGAGTTCGGTTTATGGTCAGTAGAGGCGTCTATAATTTACCTTCCTCTGGTGGTAGTGGTAGCAGTGGAGGTTACAGCCGAAAATCAAAATTATTTGGAACATTCTTACACACACACAGACTAAGACCGGACACAGGCCAATACACTCTCCAGCCCTACACATCTTTCCCACTATTTGCTGTACGCTAAAGACATCACTCTCTCCTCCTCTGACTTGAGATAATTTTACAAAGCTACTGTGTCACAAACATTAATAAAGAATGAATGGGGGAAAAACAGAATACACTTTGGAATAACCTTTAGCAGATACAGACGGTCCAAGCAGTTTGGTTTATGGCCAGTAGCGGCGTCCATATATAAAAAAAACAAACAACTAAATTCTACCTTCCTCTGGTGGTAGCAGTGGAGATTACAGCCGAAAAGAATTTTTACACATTCAGACAACTTCACCTAATTTTTTCTACTATTATTTATCATACATTCCAAAACATGTGCTGACTTTTGAGGGTTTTTTTCTCTCCCAGCGCAAGTTTACATAGCAATCTCTTTACAACGCAACAACTTCAATCTTCCCAGTGACTCACGGCAGCTTCAGGATTGGGAGTATCATTCTCTACCCAAAATCTTTGCATTAAATTACAATCTCTTTGGAACATGGGCTTCCTCACACAAACGCAACCTGTTATTCTGTGCGCGGGGGCAAAAAGTCAAACGGCGTATAGAGCGATGAAGTAATAACAGCCAGCACTCCATTTGACCTTTTAAATATTTACACCAGTGGGTAATTGGAGAGTGCAGATCCAGGGCGGCTAATCCAAACCGTTTGCATTTAAAAGACTGTAATAAACATGAGTGATGGAGTCATAATTGGGATGATTTTGGAGCAAAGACCCTTTTGTCGAGACCGTGTCACCGCGCACAATGGAGAGAAGCTAAAATCAGGTCAGAGCCTTCGATATGGGGACATTTGATTTGCCTGTCACCTCAACTCCCCTCGTTGTACTTTTGGAACGAAGTGTCCAAGCGGAAACAAAAAAACGCTGAAAAGCAAAAAATCAGGGTCAGCGAGGGCAAGAGAGGGCGGCTTTTGTTGTGCTCTTTTTACAAACATCTAGTGTATGAAATGAAGATGTTTTATTCTATTGTATCATTTATTTTTCAT